CACATTATATGTGTTATATCAATAGCGCATGAGTGTCTAAAATGTTTAGTAATGATAGATTTTATCCGACTCTGAAAAGATGTTTATGAAGTATTATTTATTCATTTTCTCTCTAAATGCTAATACTTAACTGTAAATGAAAATATGAGGCTTTAATAACTGGATCTTTACCTAGTGCGATAAATGGCAGCAACGTTACTTTATTCAAATCAAATAGATTTTGCGATATTTTTCTTATCTCACGTGTTAAGATTCTTTTTGTCACAACTCAGTTTACACTCTGATAAACGCGAAAAAGCTTATTGACTAGATTATTTTGTACGTCATTTTCTTTATTTTCTGTTGCAAACAATTAAACAAGCAAACATGATAATTGGAATATTTGGGAAAAATGCTCAACATTCAATTGATTTTAATAATTGAATATACAAGATAAATACATGTACATGTATTTGAATAAATTAGTAAGGTTACAGTATCTGAAACAGTTGTTTTTTAAAAGTACGATAGTCTTATAAGTGAAATAGTTTAATATACAGTAATAAAAACCAATAGTTATTATCATAAACCGTTTTAGATTAGTAAAAAATAAGTCATAGTATAATAATGTACATCACATTCCTGTTCATGTTGTTAACATAACATGATGAAAATAAATCTATTGTGCTTTGATTTATTTACAAATAGGGAAATAGGTAACCATTGATTTAATCTTAAAAGGAATTGTTTGTTTGTTTGTTAAATTAATAATCATGTAAAATACAGATATATTTCCAATACCGACACTTTAAACTGTCAGTTATTCAATGACTTAAGCGAAATAGGGGTAGTGATATGTGTGTATCGGCATTGTTTGAAAACGTTTGAGCAACGTCTCTAATGGTAGGAAAGAACACAGTTTGTGTAACTTCATTCATATGTTTAATACATACACTTTAATATTTCCATATAGCGTAGTCAGCATTTTATGATTGTGTTAAATACATCTAAATAACTTTATAACATGTATAATGCCTCCGATTTTATAACGCAAAATGACAAAAAAAAATCTGAGCTATAAACACATGGAAATTACATTTTATTATTTCTTACCCGCCGTCTTAAGTGTTGTTATTGTTTTATTAATTTCTCTGCGATATTTTTAATGCAATTGATAACTTTTTATAGATTCAAGATTCAAGATTCAAAATATTTTATTTGGTAACGTAAACATGACGTTTCTTGCTACACAACACATATATACAATGATACAATATAACATGTCAACATGACACAAATTTATAGACAATTATATTTTTAGCGGAAAATATGATACATATAGTCAAAACAAGAAAGAAAATGGAAACAAGGAGGTTGAACTAATGGAGATTTTGCATATTTAATGACTTACAGCTAAATAACAATCAAAATCAGTCAAATGTTTCATGAAATTATTGAATTATAACACGGACAATTTGTATATTTTTGGTATATACAGTAATAAGCTTATTCAGATATCATATTAACAATACCTTGACGTATTTCAAACGCTTCATATATATATTTACATAATTTAAGTTGCATGTTGCTGTTGGTATTCTGCATTAGTTCAACGAATTTATGGACACTAGGTCTATTATAATAATATTTCTTTAAGTACTGTTTACGTATATCATTATAAGCATTACAAATACAAACAAAATGAAAATCGTCTTCTATATCACGTGTATTACAAATAAGACAATATCTCTCACTACGTTCAGTTCTACAATTACCATACCGTCCAGTTTCTATTCTAAGTTGGTGTGATGATAATCTTAATTTTGTAAAAGCAATCCTAAATGTCTTAGGAATTTTATCAAGATACAGTGAGTACTCAAATGACGTCTTAAAAAGACTATATGTGCCTAGGCTCGGGCTAGTTGTTACATTATGATACCATGACTGGATGAATTGATCAATAAGAGTTTGCTTTAATAATAAATGTACATTTTTAAGGTTATAAATACTTGGATTATACCATATATATGACAAACCTGCATTATCTAACAATGAGTTCACATTAGACAACCAGTTATTTTTTCTCTATTAATATCATTTAACATTGATGTATGTAGCAACGCTATATGTCGCAACGCCGCTATATATGTCGCAACTAACGCTAAATGTCGCAACGCTGACGCTATATGTCGCAATCAACGCTATATGTCGCAATCGCCTACCGCTAAATGTCGCAACGTTGCCGCTATATGTCGCACAAAAATTGATTGCCGCTAAATGTCGCAACCCCTTGACGCTAAATGTCGCACTTGGTAGGAAAGTAACAGATGGAACTGACACAAAAAGTAAGTGTTAAAACATTTAAAGTTTATATCATTTACACATGAAAACATATCCTAGTAACCAAACAAAAGTTGTATTTCGCGGTCTATGGCAAAAACCTTGTATGGCCATAGAAACAGTTTTTGATTAAAGGGATGGATTTGGTTCTCAACCACGGACCAGGTGTGAGATCAAACTTTCTCGTTGAGGATGTCTTTCTCACAAAATGCATCAACAAAAACATTTGGATATACATGTATATTTGTTATATTATTTGACATAACTGAGCAAACCGCTTGTTATTGCTAAGGGGGAACTATATCTTAACATTTTATGTTAATAGCTGCCATTATAAATAGTGGTCGAATAGCCCAGTCTAGGTAATTCGAATTTGGTATTTGTCCAGAGAAGATATATACATGTACTTATGTATTGAGTAATAAAATGTGAAACATCAGTGTGTTCCCTCTCCGTTATACGACAGGGGATACAACAATATTTTGATATCCGAAGTAGCCTACTGTGTCCAATTTCTCATATTATACTGCGCTTTGTTTAAGCCTCGTTTTTTCTCCGTTACATGGATACTTTTGTAATGGTTTGATATTGTAGCTTCATTTTTACTTCAACATGGTTTCGTTTGTGGCGTTTTCATAATGAAGTATCATTTTCATTTTTATAATGATACATTTGCCTTGTTTTACCATTACATGAAATACTTTTGTAAAGTTTTCCTTATTGCAGCCTGGTTTTCAGTGTCACATTTCCTTATTGTAGCCTCGTTTTCATTATAATAGGGTTACTATAGTCTCTTTTCCTGCGTTTAGCTGTAACGCGAATACGTTTGTAACGTTTCCTTACTGTTGCCTCGTTTACACTGTAACGCGGATATGTTTGTGACGTTTCCTTACTGTTGCCTTGTTTACACTGTAACGCGGATATGTTTGTGACGTTTCCTTACTGTTGCCTTGTTTTCACTGTAACGCGGATACGTTTGTGACGTTTCCTTACTGTTGCCTCGTTTTCCCTGTAACGCGGATACGTTTGTGACGTTTCTTTACTGTTGCCTCGTTTTCACTGTAACGCGGATACGTTTGTGACGTTTCCTTACTGTAGCCTCTTTTTCATTGTTACATGATTACGTTTGTGACGTTCGTTATTGAAGCCTCGTTTCCATTGTTACATGGTTACGTTTTATGACATTTCTTTACTGTAGCCTCGTTTTCATTGTTACATGATTACGTTTGTGACGTTTCTTTATTGTAGCCTCGTTTTCATTGTAACATGGTTACGTTTGTGACGTTTCTTTACTGTAGCCTCGTTTTCATTGTTACATGGTTACGTTTGTGACGTTTCTTTACTGTAGCCTCGTTTTCATTGTTACATGGTTACGTTTGTGACGTTTCTTTACTGTAGCCTCGTTATGGTTACGTTTGTGACGTTTACCTTCTGTAGTCTCGCTTTCATCGTAACATGGTAACGTTTATGACGTTTTCTCCCTGTAAAGCACGTTTTCACTATTACATGGATTCGTTTGTGACGTTTCTTTACTGTAGCCTCGTTTTCATAGTTACGTTTGTCACGTTTCCTTTAAGTGGCCTCGTTTGTATTGCAATATGGTTACGTTTGTGACATTTTCTAATTACATGTATATTCTCATTTTGATCGAAACAAGGACACGTTTGTGAATGGTTACTCTATTTCCTGATTTACATGAACACGAACACGTTTATGACATTAAATTATTATCTCATATTCTCCCTTATATGTTTTATCCTCTTTTTCCTCGTAGCACTGATACATTTGTTAACTTAATGTATCGTAGTCTCATTTTAACTTCACCATGGTTTCATTTTTGATGTTTCTAAATTATTTCGAAGCAGAGTTGTTCGTTCCTCACATATATCACATCTGCAATATGCTAAATGACAAGAATCTTGTCAAAACGTAACAATTTTTTAACACTTTGACTTTAAATATAAGACCATAGATAAAATGCACAAATAGAAGCACGTTGTAAAGATGTGATAAATTTTATCATCATTTTTATTGGAACTTTTGTCATGTCCAAGTATGCAGATGATGTCATCACGCAGATGCAAACAAAACACTTGAAAGTGATTTTAATATAATTTTAATATGTGGTAGAAACATTCCTGTCTGGACCTCTGTCAGTTTGGAGGCAGTTGCTTTATTCTGGCGACATAAATCGCAAAATTATTCATTTCCAAAATGTCAACATACGAGTATGTCAGTGCGGTTTTGGGACTACTTTCTGAGCCAACTATACTAAAGCGAATGGAATAGATTATATTTTTCTTATAAGTTTCGTTTTCATCGTTACATAGATGTTTGTTACGCGTTTTGTTAAAGTCTAATAGATTCCAGTACATTTGTTACGTTTTGTCATTGTAGTCTCGTTTGCATTGTAACATGCCGTTTGTGAAGTTTTCTTGTTGTTTTCTTGTTATTATCGTAACATAGTTACGTTTGTAACATCTTCTTCCCGTAGTTTCATTTTCAATGTTACATATATACGTTTGTGACGTTTTCTTATTGTAGCCTCGTTTTTATTGTAATTGAAACATGCTCACGTTTTTGACGTTTTGATATTGTAGCCTCGTTTTAAAACTGACATGGTTACGTTTGTGACGTTTTCTTATTGTTGCCTCGTTTTCGTCGTTACACGGTTGCGTTTGGGACGTTTTTGTATACATTGCTTGCAATGTATACAGAGTTATAAGCTATATCTCAGAAAAGATACAGGTTTAATGCATTACCGAACAACATCCACTCCCGGATAAAAACCGCTATAGAAACTAGTTCTTCATTCTGCAGTAGCGGTACATTCCGACTACACATCATTAAAATAGTGTTTTGCAAAGTTGTTTAAATGCTTTGAAATTTGCAAATCGTTCATTTTCATGAAATAATAGACTCTACATTCCTTTAAAGAAAACAAAAAACTAACAGTTCATTGATAAAATCGTAGTTTATACCTACGCGTTAAACTTCGCATATACGCATGCGCTTGCTAGCATGAATGAATACATCGTAAATATAGTAAAGTCGTCAGCGCTTATGCTAAAACAATACAAAATAAGCTTTTTTTAAACCGCTAGTTTGTTGTGATTAAATGTCCGATTTTAAAATGTATTACACCAATAGAAAGCTTTGGGTCTTAGCTTCATCACAATATAAACTTCAATACATCTTTTGACTCCAAAGTATTTAAATTAACTGTTAACCCTACCATATGTCAGACCATTTTACATGCGATTTATACAGTGAGATACGCAATGATAAGAATAGCCTGTCGTCTGCTAGTTCTAAAAGTGTATATCGGTGTATTGTATAAATGGGACGAAACATCTCAGGTAGATATTAAATAAAATAAAATTCCCGATTTACATTTATGCAATAAAATTGCCCTAAAATGTTTTACAAAATAAGTATGGAGCACCGTCACAAAATTTACCAGCGTATACCGGAAAATGTTTTTTTTCAAAAACTGGCAATTAGAATCGTGACTTCGAAAAATAGAAATTTCGTAAGCTATTCTTTTGAATACCTTTTTTACACATGATTTTCCTTTCACTTTTGTCTGGGATGTACTATAACGTATGTAGCAACGCTATATGTCGCAACGCCGCTATATGTCGCAACTAACGCTAAATGTCGCAACGCTGACGCTATATGTCGCAATCAACGCTATATGTCGCAATCGCCTACCGCTAAATGTCGCAACGTTGCCGCCATATTTCGCACAAAAATTGATTGCCGCTAAATGTCGCAACCCCTTGACGCTAAATGTCGCACTTGGTAGGAAAAAGTAAGTGTTAAAACATTTAAAGTTTATACCATTTATACATGAAAACATATCCTAGTAACCAAACAAAAGTTGTATTTCGCGGTCTATGGCAAAAACCTTATATGGCCTGTTTTTTGATAAAAGGGATGGATTTGGTTCTCAACCACGGACCAGGTGTGAGATCAAACTTTCTCTTTGAGGATGTCTTTCTCACAAAATGCATCAATAAAAACATTTGGATATACATGTATATATGTTAATATATTATTTGACATAACTGAGCAAACCGCTTGTTAATGCTAAGGGGGGACTATATCTTAAAATATTTTTTATTATACCTGTTCATAATCTGACTAGATAGGCTTTACTACATGTAAGTATTGAATAATACCCAATTGATCTGTTGATCGATATTCGTAACTATGCGGTGTATTGATTTAGGTTTATGACAGAATTGTTATACTTTCATAACTTTTTATATTTATCTCAATATTTCTTTGGGAACATTAATGAATCAATATACTATGGAATTGCAAAATGTTGACTGCCTACTGCTTACTGTCAACTGCTTACTATCAACTGCTTACGGCTTACTACTTATTATTCACTGCTTATAGCATTAAAATAAAAATGGACGACCTATAACAACTGTATTGGTCAAAAAATTATTCAGTTTCCGAAATAGTTGCCGTTCTGGAGGTCATGCACAATATAGTGCAGTGGTATATAGGCCACTTCCAACAGCCTTGCTGTTTGGTAAACCCTTTAGCGATGTGGTTGAGGTGTCCGCCTACGGACCAAGAGGTCTGTTGTTCAAAACCCGGTTGGACCCTTGGTATTTTTCTGCCTCCTAATTTACTTAAATGGTGTCAGAAGTGTTTGACGGACTCATGCGGTAAGCAGGGAGTGACATTCAGGATAGCTGGCTAGCTCTGAAAAGTAAAGAGGGGAGGAGTGTAGTGGTTGAAGGTATATAGGCCACTTCCATCAGCCTTGCTGTTAGATTAACCCTTTAACGACGTGGTTGAGGTGTCCGTCTACGGACCAAGAGGTCTGTGGTTCAAAACCCGGTTGGACCCTTGGTATTTTTCTGCCTCCTAATTTACTTTAAAAGTTTACAGGTACATATATATTCTTAGAACAACATTTAAAGGAATTCACTGATAAATTAATAAATGCATGGACTATAACATGAAATTCCATAAACGACAGCCAACTGTTGACTGCTTACTGCTTACTGTCAACTGCTTACTGTCAATTGCATACTGTCAACTGCTTACTCCCCCACTAGAAAACAACAACAACAACAACAATTAGATAAATAAATGAATACAAAAATGAATAAAAATAAATAAATAGAGGTATTCTTTTATCTGTTTACATGTAGAGGTTATAGGCTGACCCATGAAAAAAATAGAGAAACTAAAAATCAAGCCAAAAAGAAATTGTTTTATCATATACTTATAAGTGAAATATTGAGAAATACTGATGAAATAAAATGCGTATTTTCAATTTTGGTATTTTCACTGTAAAAAGCTATTTTTCACTGTAGTGAAATATATTTTCCGTATTTTCACTGCTGTCTTGCCGGACTACTTTCTTCTAAATACAGACAATACACATAATTTAAGGAGAATTCTTTCAAATTGTAATGTCAAAAAAAAGAAGAGAAATCTATATGATAAACAGACAATTCAAGTTTTTTCTATAAATACAGGATTTATTATCATCTTGTGGTATGGAAATTATCATATTTCATTCATGGCTACCGCCACTCATAAAATAATTATTGTCTTGCCACTAGATGAAAATAAATCCTGTATTTATAGAAAACACTTGAATATCCTCCATGAATTATGTCATAATATGTTCAAAAGCAACCAGACATAAAATCGTATGTATTAGATATCTAGATGTATATTAATAATGATAATTCAATAAGCATGAACCGAATGTTTATTTTTTCTTGTGTGCGACAAATTAAGAATAATTCAAATATCGATTGAATTATACATCCAATTTGTCGTTAGATAAATCATCAAAGGGTGATAATAAGACAACAACTTAATACATGTAAATGTGAACAAAATATTACCATTCACAAACGCATTCGTTTTCTGATGAAAACGTGACTTAAACAAACCCTTTTTCGATGAAAGCGATGCTACGCAAACTTAGAGCTGAAAACGAGGCGACAGTAAGAAAACGTCACAAACGTATCTATGGAACAGTGAAAATGAGGCTAAAGAAAAAAACGTCCCAAACGCAACCGTGTACGACGAAAACGAGGCAACAATAAGAAAACGTCAAAAACGTGAGCATGTTTCAATTACAATAAAAACGAGGCTACAATAAGAAAACGTCACAAACGTATATATGTAACATTGAAAATGAAACTACGGGAAGAAGATGTTACAAACGTAACTATGTTACGATAATAACAAGAAAACAACAAGAAAACTTCACAAACGGCATGTTACAATGCAAACGAGACTACAATGACAAAACGTAACAAATGTACTGGAATCTATTAGACTTTAACAAAACGCGTAACAAACATCTATGTAACGATGAAAACGAAACTTAAAAGAAAAATATAATCTATTCCATTCGCTTTAGTATAGTTGGCTCAGAAAGTAGTCCCAAAACCGCACTGACATACTCGTATATTAATATTTTGGAAATGAATAATTTTGCGATTTATGTCGCCAGAATAAGGCAACTGCCTCCAAACTGACAGAGGTCCAAACAGGAATGTTTCTACCACATATTAAAAATTATATTAAAAACACTTTCAAGTGTTTTGTTTGCATCTGCGTGATGACATCATCTGCATACTTGGACATGACAAAAGTTCCAATAAAAATGATAATAAAATTTATCATATCTTTACAACGTGCATCTATTTGTGCATTTTATCTATGGTCTTATGTTTAAAGTCAAAGTGTTAAAAAATTGTTACGTTTTGACAAGATTCTTGTCATTCAGCATATTGCAGATGTGATATATGTGAGGAACAACTTTGCTTCGAAATAATTTAGAAACATCAAAAATGAAACCATGGTGAAGACGATACATTAAGTTAACAAATGTATCAGTTTTACGAGGAAAAAGAGGATAAAACATATAAGGGAGAATATGAGATAATAATTTAATTCATCACACACCCGTGCCGATTTTGCGACTGCGTAATTATGGTATTGCACGACCGTGCATATATTTTGACGTGACGTCATTAGCGTTATACAAACATAGTGTAAAGACGCGCTAAATTTTAGCGTTATATTATAGGCGCGTCAATGAAAAATGACTCTTACTTCACTTTAAACGGTATTTATTTTGGGTATGTGATAAATAGAATATTAAATTCGTGTAAGTTCATTACTGAATTTATTGCACTCGTTGAATAAAATAATATTATGCTCGCCAGAGGCTCGCATAATATAATTTTATTCAACTCGTGCAATAAATTCAGTATTGAACTTACACTAATTCAATATCCTCTATGTCATAAACGTGTTCGTGTTCATGTAAATCAGGAAATAGAGTAACCATTCACAAACGTGTCCTTGTTTCGATCAAAACGAGAATATACATGTAATTAGAAAAAGTCACAAACGTAACCATATTGCAATACAAACGAGGCCACTTAATTAAAGGAAACGTGACAAACGTAACTATGAAAACGAGGCTACAGTAAAGAAACGTCACAAACGAATCCATGTAATAGTGAAAACGTGCTTTACAGGGAGAAAACGTCATAAACGTTACCATGTTACGATGAGAACGAGGCTACAGAAGGTAAACGTCACAAACGTAACCATAACGAGGCTACAGTAAAGAAACGTCACAAACGTAACCATGTAACAATGAAAACGAGGCTACAGTAAAGAAACGTCACAAACGTAACCATGTAACAATGAAAACGAGGCTACAATGAAGAAACGTCTCAAACGTAACCATGTAACAATGAAAACGAGGCTACAGTAAAGACATGTCATAAAACGTAACCATGTAACAATGGAAACGAGGCTACAGTAACAAACGTCACAAACGTAACCATGTAACAATGAAAAGAGGCTACAGTAAAGAAATGTCATAAAACGTAACCATGTAACAATGGAAATGAGGCTACAGTAACAAACGTCACAAACGTAACCATGTAACAATGAAAAAGTGGCTACAGTAAGGAAACGTCACAAACGTATCCGCGTTACAGTGAAAACGAGGCAAACAGTAAGGAAACGTCACAAACGTATCCGCGTTACAGGGAAAACGAGGCTACAGTAAGGAAATGTCACAAACGTATCCGCGTTACAGTGAAAACGAAGCAATAGTAAGGAAACGTCACAAACGTATCCGCGTTACAGTGAAAACGAGGCTACAGTAAGGAAACGTCACAAACGTATCCGCGTTACAGTGAAAACAAGGCAACAGTAAGGAAACGTCACAAACATATCCGCGTTACAGTGTAAACAAGGCAACAGTAAGGAAACGTCACAAACATATCTGCGTTACAGTGTAAACAAGGCAACAGTAAGGAAACGTTACAAACGTATTCGCGTTACAGTTAAACGCAGGAAAAGAGACTATAGTAACCCTATTATAATGAAAACGAGGCTACATTAAGGAAATGTGACCTGCAATAAGGAACACTTAACAAAAGTATTTCATGTAATGGTAAAACAAGGCAAATGTATCATTATAAAAATGAAAATGATACTTCATTATGAAAACGCCACAAACGAAACCATGTTGAAGTAAAAATGAAGCTACAATATTAAACCATTACAAAAGTATCCATGTAACGGAGAAAAAACGAGGCTTAAACAAAGCGCAGTATAATATGAGAAATTGGACACAGTAGGCTACTTCGGATATCAAAAATATTGTTGTATCCCTGTCGTATAACGGAGAGAGAACACACTGATGTTTCACATTTTATTACTCAATACATAAGTATATATCTGCTCTGGACAAATACCAAATTCGAATTACCTAGACTGGGCTATTCGACCACTATTTATAATGACAGCTATTAACAAAACCTGGTCCGTGGTTGAGAACCAAATCCATCCTTTAATCAAAAACTGTTTCTATGGCCATACAAGGTTTTTGCCATAGACCGCGAAATACAACTTTTGTTTGGTTACTAGGATATGTTTTCATGTGTAAATGGTATAAACTTTAAATGTTTTAACACTTACTTTTTGTGTCAGTTCCATCTGTTACTTTTTTACCAAGTGCGACATTTAGCGTCAAGGGGTTGCGACATTTAGCGGCAATCAATTTTTGTGCGACATATAGCGGCAACGTTGCGACATTTAGCGGTAGGCGATTGCGACATATAGCGTTGATTGCGACATATAGCGTCAGCGTTGCGACATTTAGCGTTAGTTGCGACATATAGCGGCGTTGCGACATATAGCGTTGCTACAATGTATATAAGTATCTAACTATAACATTATTACTGTTAACAATATTTGACCAAAATTTGATAATCCGTACATATCTGTTTACATATAAAGGGTACCTTTTCAGCTCACCATAAATAGCCATGCTGCTAGTTGACTGCTTAACACATAACATGGACTTACAAAATTTTAGATGTACTCGTTTCGATTTCCTTACTTTTACTAAATCCCCATATTTCACAGGCATAATTTAAAATAGATACAACAAAAGCATCAAATAATTGCAAAGAAGTACTAAATTTAACCGGTGTCTGTTTTAAATTAAACAATAAAACGTTTAACGCCTTTAGAGCTTTCCCTACTAAATACTCTTGATTTAAGGTAAAACTACCTGTATAATTGAAAACAGTACCTAACTAATTGAAATTGTCGACTATTTCTAAGGAATATTATTATATGTCCAATACTCATTATTTCTAATCGGACCCCTCTTCCTAAAAACCATAACCTTACTTTTACCTTCATTTACTTTAAGGCCCCATAAAGTGCAGTAATTATATAATGTATTTAAACTATTTTGTAAGTCTTCAGGGGATTTACTTAAAATAACAATATCATCAGCAAATAACATGAGAATAAATGTAATATCATCTAATGTTAAACCAGAATTAATATCATTTAATAAATACATTTCTAAATCTTCTAAAAACATAGAAAACAATATCGGGGACATTACCTCCCCTTGTTTAAGACCAATCGAACATTCCAGGAAATCTGAATATGATTTACAGCCCCTTATTCGTGCTTTTACTTTAGAGTACATATCATGGATGATTCTTAAAGTTTTTCCACGTACACCAATGTTATATAGTTTAAACCATAAACCATTACGATAAACACTATCAAAAGCCTTTTGAAAATCTATAAAGGCACATGCAAGACGTCCATTTTCATTAAAAATTTTATTAACAACAGCATTTAAAACAAATATAGCATCAACTGTGGAGCGACCCTTCCTAAATCCAAATTGTGCATCACTAATTTTGTCGTTTTCTTCAGACCATTTTGTCAATCTGTTATTCAGAACACCTGTAAATATCTTTGAAAAACAACTAACGAGACTGATTCTTCTATAATTACTAGCAAGTGCAGGGTCATTTTTCTTAAACAGAGGTACAATAATACTTTCCATCCATGAATCTGGAAAAAAGCCAGAGTTCAGAATACCATTAAAAATATCAACTAAATGCGATGATAAAATATCGGACGAATTTATAAAATACTCATTCAATAACTGGTCACCTGCAAAAGCCTTATTTTTCTTTAAATGACGAATAACACAATTTATCTCATCAACTGTTTATAGGTTCATCTAGCTCCTCGTACAGTACATCATTACTTAAAAAATCTAAATTTTCACAAAATAATTCACTTTCGGCATGCAAAACATTTGGCAAATCATTACTTAAGGTAGAAAAATGCCTCATAAAAATCTTCTATGGAAACACTATTCTTATGTATCGTCTTTTTAGTAAACAATTTCCAAAAATCTTTAGGTTTACAGTGACGAAGGCGTTCAATTTCTCTTATTTTTTTAACTCATAACTACGTTTCTTTTTTTTACACAACATTTTTATAAATTAGTTTATTATTACAAAATTCTATTCTATTTACATCATTTTTACACATATTATATTTATATACAGAATTTAAATATATCTCTTTTGAACGTTTGCAATCTTCATCAAACCACTACGCCTTTTTACATAGTTTACCATCGGCACGTGGCGTAATATATGTTATTCTACGTTTACAAAATAATGGATCTGCCACGCTTCTCACAACATTTACAAAGGATTCTATACATGAATTTAACTGTAATCTATCGTTAAAATCAACATTTTCGGTAATAGTATTTAAACGTGGTAGTTTGTGATATAAGACCTCTACGGAATTCGTTTTGTAACTCATCATTCCATCGTAAACTTATGCTTTCATAATAAATATCATTATCCTCGCGCAATACGTGGCATTTAATAGAAAATGATATAGGAGCATGATCAGACCATTCATTAAAACTCTGCACAGAGAAATCGCTAACTAAACTGAAATATTTGCTCTTTCAACAACAGATAGTCAATGACACTAGATCCCGATGAACATATATAAGTATAGTTTCCATTATTAAAGTCACGACCAAGCCTACCATTTGCCATACGTAAAGAACTAGCCTTGCATACATCTAATAATTTAATACCCGAGTTATTATGTATACAGTCCATGGACACACGTTCTATAGGCATGTCGGGGTAATAATCATCATAGTCTGTAAAACTAACGGTACGATCACAGACAATATAATCCTTGCGGTCGCCATTACCTGTACGTGCATTCCAATCACCAGTTAACAATGTAATACCAAGATTTTCATAAAGTAAAATATCGTTTTGAACAATATCAAATAAATAACCATTGATAAAGTTATAAGCAGGGGAACCTTCCACCCATATATATACACCAGCTAAATAAATGTCATCTGTAAGATTAAAAAATATTTTATCAAGTTTCAACCAAGTGATAGTGTCAAAATGATTCTGTACAACGGTAACCCCTTTACTTATTTCATTTTTAATGTATACTAATACCCCACCACTAGATCACTTTGCTCGCCGGTTCTGAAATTTACGATAGAAATTAAAAGTTGCATACCCATCTATATCAAAATTAGAATTTTTATTACCCCAAGTCTCAAACAAAAATATAATATCGTTATTACACAGTTTCTTTATAAAATCATTGTCCTCTAATTTAGATCTATTAAGTCCATTTACATTCCATGATAATATGGACAGTCCAGCCTCATCGAGTCCCTACTTCCGGTTCCCATTCTGCATCTGGCTTCTGTCGGACTCTTTATCGCTTACTGGTACCCCGTCAATAAAAAGCGTGTCGTAGGCTAACCAAGCTTGACGACCTTGTTTTTTGGCATTTTTAAGTTTCGGTAAGAGTGATTTTCTCCGTGCTACAATTTCCGGTGGAAATTGTTCGTGAAGATAAAACCGAGTGTCATTAAGCTTGGTTCTGAGGTGACGCACCATTTCTCTATCTTCGTAAAATGCAAATTTAACAACTATTTTGCGTGGATTACCGCTACGTTGATTATAATCTCCCATGCGATGGACACGTTCGAACTGTAAATTGTCCGCTAACTGCTGAGCGATGTTCAAATGGTCAACAAAGAATCGGCGTAAAAGTCTGCTCACTATTTTCCCACGTTTCTTGTTTAGGTTCAGGAATATTTCCAAAAATTAAATTGTTACGCATGCTCTGTGACTTGACATAGAGTAAATCGTCCTTGACCCGAGCTTCAGTTTGATGCATTTGATCCAATTCGCTCTGTGCCTGACCAAGCGCAAATTCAAGACTATCCACCCTTGAGTCAATATTAGATACCTTGTCATCCATTTTTTTGGTTACTATCATGTACAAAAGTCCATAATTTTTTAAGGTCGATCTCAAAAACTGCTCACCTTTTGCTCAAGTATGTCCAAGGTATTGAGACGCTGGTCAACATGATTTAGCTTCAGCTCTATTCTTTGCAAATATTCAATGATAGCATCCGTATGTGTGTCAGTGCTGGTAGAAATATCCGCCGGAATAGGGAGCGGGGGCACTGATGTCAACGGAGGTGTTGAATTAGGGGGCGGGTCACTTGAAGCAGCTTGTTTAGGGTCCATGATTAAGGAATAATTGTCAGTTTCAGATAATGATTCCGACACAAACACCGTACTATCCAGTGATAACGAATTATCAAACAACACGCTATTAGCGTTATGTAAAGTTTCTGCCAAACTACTATTACAGTCTAATTTATCCGGGGGCGACCGGCCATGTCTAGGATTTTTTACCTGTTCCCCACCCGTATTGTCACTGCTATGTTTACGATTTTTATCCGATTTATTCCTTTTTCTATTTCCCATTTGTCGTTTTAAAATATAAATAATAATACACCATCTTTTACTTCCATAATAACATATCTAAGATTGTATTTTAACACTAAAATATCCAAATATTTGACAAAAATTTTCAGCGAAAGAAAAACCGCGTCCATTCAAAATTGATCACGTGACACATCTTCATCTTTATACAGTCAAATAAGATAACTGTTTTGATTAGTGCAATTGGCAAACAATTAAGTATCGATTTCTAGAATGTACATATTTTGTTTAACAGTTTTCGTATGTTACTGCATGTTCCGTTACCTGAAAGTAAAATAACAGCTATAATAATAAACAAATTCTAACATTAAACTTGCCTCATGACTTTTAAGGTTCAAAGAATAGTGTTATCGGATTATCTTGGCGACATTGTTGATATTGTTTACATTACGGTGGAACTAAATAAAATGGAATTTTGAAAGGGAATCTGAGGTTATGAAGCCTGC